TGTAATATTTTTTTTCTGTTATCAGATCTAAGTTTGGGAGAAGTAGATTTAAAAGAAAAGACACAGAGTAAAGAAAGCTTTCCTGGTTAGAATTTTGGTCAATGGAATATAAAGATTAGCATTTACAGCAGGTGGCAGCTATGTAAAAAAAAATGATGGTGTCAATGTAAAATGACAATATTTTCACAAGCTTTCCCCTATGGCTTTAAAATAAGGTCACTTTGGTACTGCAGGAAAGAGCTTGGTATCAGCCTCCTGCTCTACAGTTTGACAAACTGGGCTTGACCATTTGTATTAAATGAGACTCTCTCTTTTTTATTACAGAATTTCCCTCCCACTTTTGAAACAATGACATTTGAAACACAAGCAGGCACATTTAAAAGTTTGTCTGTAATTCTCCCCCTCCCACCCCTCAGCTCCCAGGAATACACAAATATTTTCACATGCAATCACATTCCACACAGTTAAAGTGTGCATTCTTGGAAAATGACACCAGAAGCTACATTTTATCCCATTAAAAAAAAAAAAAAAATCAACACTGAATTGTTGACTGGTAACATAGCTATGCATCTAGTTTGCTATGCATCTAATTTGAAGTCATTGTCAAAGTCTGTCATATATATCAAAAGCTCTCATTGTTATTTAGAAAAAAAAGTGAAAATGGAAAATAAATATGTCTTACACTTTTTTCTCCACAAAAATAAGTACACCAGCAAACTTCACACAGAGAATTCTGCTCCTTTTTGTCTTAAAGGGAACCTATTTCTCAAGTGAATTGCCTTCCCTACCTTATTACTTGAAGAGATTACAGTCAGGGCTGTATATTGTAGCTACCCTGTATTTAGAAGCTGGGTAATAAACCACATAAATAGCACACTGAATAAAACATTAAGACATAAAAGGAGTTAAATAGAACAAAGGGCTAAAGCTTATTGTGCAGTAACCATGCCTGACCCGTGGAAATACAAAAGACTCATAATTCTAGTTAGCAAAATGCAGAGTTGGGATTTAAATCAGAGGAAGCCAGCGGTGGCTGAGTGCTGGAGCCCCTTCCACAGCCTTGCAGGGCCCTCTGGTGGAAACAGGAATCCATCTCACGGCTGCCCAACAGCACTGCCAGGAAAAATGATGCTCCCACCCCAAAATAAAGGGAGAACGAGCAGCATGGGTTTTCCCTGTTTTCTTAAAAGCAGCAATATTTCTAATATAAAGCTGCATTTTTCAGCTCTCCTTTAAGGAGATTAAATCCTGGAGCCTGTGTAAGTAAGGAATTTTCCCTCTGACTCCAGTGAGAACAGGGTCTGTCTATAAAGCCCTGAAAGTAGAGAAGTCTTTAAAGTCACAAAAAACTGCAGTTGATGTGGAACATTCTAAAACTTAGACCCTTCAGCAAAGCTGGAAGCGTTTCAGGTGTACATCATCACATAAAACAGTCTCAAAAAAGCCAGGCTGCAGCAGTAATGCATGGCAGAAACTGCTCAGCTGGCTGTGCCAGCTCAGGGTCTGCAGGGCCAGCCCTCACACGAGCTGACCTGACAAAATGTCTTTTCAATGCCTCTTCATTTGTGACTTTGAGCAGTGAGGTGGAAACAAACCTTTTCTGGTATTAAATGTATGTTGCTTCATCCAGAACAGCATGGAATTGGTCATTATATTGGTATTAGGTACTCAAGAGCTTGAAATACTGCCCATTTTTTTAAAAAAAGAAGTAAAATTGATGCTTATGCTTTCCTTTGTTATTGTCAGGGCAAAAGAGAAACTCTACAGAAGGCATTCAGAGCAACAGAGTCAGATTAATATTCTCATGTTTCTTCTCCACACAGATAAACAAGGGGCTGCTAAAATAATCTGCACAAGCAGCATCTTCAATGATCTAATGGTGATGAGAAGGAAAATTTCTCCTCTGCCTATTGCCTCTGCCAGTCAGGGCAATCACTGTGCCCTTCATTGTTTTCCCAATGAAAAACAGGCTGCAGTCTCCAAGCTGGATTCAAGATCCAAACTGCTCCAAAGCAAGGCAGGATTGAACATCTCTCCTCTGACAGGTATTTCAGGGGATATTTGTGGGGAATATTTCACTGAGCAAAAGAAAGAACCAGGTCTGTCTTACACTTCATTACAGGGAAGGGCCTCCATTGTCAAAGGGATTTCTCAATGCCATTCTCTCCCACTTCTCAGCAGCAGAATGGCTGTTGGGTCCATAAGATCCAGTCTCTGTCCCTGCCTGAATAGGGCACACAGCTGCCAAATGTGATTTTTTCAGGCACCATCTAGCATGACCTGGGTCAATAATTGTCTTTCCCCAGATTAGGCTCCTTTAAAATGGAAGTATTTTGAAAAGAAGAAGTCGATTCCCACTTTTCATCTTAAATTCTCTTGTCTGCTCTTGGTTAATAAAAGTTTCTTAGCTGTAGTGAGTACACACTTATTTGAAAGGTGCTGATGATGTCAAGTACAACACTTAAAACACACTGATTGTCAGGAGCAGACACAAGCTGTTCTTCAAAACCAGCTCCTCTCAAAGCATCCCAGGCTGGGCCCCTGATGCCTCCCAGCTCAGCAGTACCTGTCAGGGGACAGCTGCTGGACCTAAAGGACAAATCCTTTGCTGAACCCAAGCCTTGGATTCATGCCTCTAATGTGCTTCAGGACATTTTACTTTGAAAAATGGGAATGCTGCCTATTGACTGCAAAAATTTTATCTCAATTGCTATCCAAGAACACGCTAATTTGTATGAAATAAATGAGGCTAATTATTTGCTTTCCACAAAACAGGCTCTGCTAAAAGCTCTGAATTATTTGTTTTCCTGATGAACAAGGCAGCACCTTGCTCACATAATAGATTCCATCAGAGATTTGATTATCCATTAGAAGGACAATCTATGTGTTGTGTCAGGCAGCAAAGATAAGATGAGGCTGGGAAATGCAGGGCCCTTGAGAACAGACCCCTAAGCCCTCTGTGGCGCCCAGAGTCAGATTCAGGGAGCTGGAGAATCAAAAATGGGATCACTGCTTCATCTACCACATGGAATCAAAGAGGGATGGGGGTCACTTCAGTGTACAAAGGAGGCAAACTCACACTTGGGGGAGAACAGGACACCACAGTCTAAAAGGGTGCATGAAGGCTCCAGCTTCAAGGGGGTCCATTTGAAAAACTGCTCCACAGCTGGACCAAGCTACTGATGAGGAGCAGAACCCTCTGTTAGCTCACCAGAGAAATCACAGCACACAAACATAAAGTCAAGCAACTTGACTGTGTTCGTGGTACCTCTTTGACAAGGTGGAAGGAATTCCATGTGTCAATTTAAGGGATGCTCTCAAGCACTCTGAAATTTCATGTAAAAAATACTGTCATGATTTACAGAATACACTGTGCTCATCATACAAACCCACAACACAAGATCACTGCTGCCTTATTACAGGTATTTCCCTTAGGTACACAAGGAAAGTGCATCTTGAAAGGACAAAAATAACATTTCTTCTGACAATACCACTCCCCAAATGACAAAAGCTGCTCTTCTCCAGGTTTGTCTGCAGAGTCAGCTCTGAAATGCTCTGCTATTAACTTGTGACTGTGCACAGACCCCCTTCCTTCTTCATGGAAGGGGCACAACTAATTCCCAGAGCAGCAACGTGGGTCATCCTCCACCACTGCATTCACTGGAGTCACTCCTCAGGCTTTTGCCTCTCCATGCAGTTACTCTGCACAAAACGTGGCTGTGTTTTACAGCAAACTGGGTGCTGCATAGCCAGGGAAAGCAGAGCTGATGATGGGGGAAGGCAAGGAGGAGGTTTTGGGCTCTCAGAGACACAGCAGCCACGTGCGGGTCAGTCAGTCCTGCTTGCCAGTTCTGGAGATATTTTGGTGAGCACAGGAGGAGCCTTCAGCTCCTGCCTAGACAACCACTGGAAGCAGCCAGGAAAGAGATCAATAGTTTGTCTCTTCTGGAGGATGGAGCCTCTACCAAATGCAGCCTCACTTCCCAGCCCTGAGGGGAGTGGATGCTAACATTAGACCTGGACCCACAGGAGTCTGGCTCAGAGCTCAGGACATTGCATATGGATTTGAGGAGTAACACCTGATTTAGGGGCACATCACAGAGAGTAACACTTGCAGAAATCCTCAAGCCATGAAGCTGACTGTGGTGCTGAGAACAGACCCATTGTGGGGTTTGCAGACAGACTTTGGATCTCTCCTGAAGAGCAGCCCTGACAGGGGGTATTTTGTAACCTTACCTCCCTCTCTAGTGGGATCAAAGGTGGATAATCTCAGCACAGCTATCCCATTTTATTCAGGACTTGCACAGATGCCTTCACATTAGCACTAATCTCCATCTCTTTCTGCTTTCAAGCTGATGTCTGCAAGATCCTACCAGAGATGTTGCTACAAAAATCCAATCTGAAAGTCAATCCAGCTTGTTCTGGCATTTATAATATGATAACACATTGTGCCTGGTAGGTATTTCTCTACAATAGTACAGCCCCTTAAATGCAAGATATTTGTTTTCCTCATTATGCCAGTTTGGAAAAGGAGGAGAGTATCAGAGGCTGATCTAAGCACAGGTCAGAATTTGTGTCAGTCAGTGGAAGAACTGGCTAACATGAGTCTGAGGGCTTCGATTTATTGCCCACCACTGCTGTAAAGTCAGTTGATAACAACAGGATTAAGAGGGTGAAGATAAAGATACATTTCAGAATGTTTTTGGATAAGGATAAAGCAAAATGACACACACAAATGCCAAAGACCTAGCAGTCATGAAGTCACTCCAAAAACCTCCTGGCAAGCTTCAGTACATAAATAACTAGAGAAAAGCCATGAAAATTTACAATAACTCTTTTTTTTTTTTTCCTTGTTGGTGGTGTATTTTTAACCTATTGCACTGATTATAACATGCTGTCAACAGCCTCATCAATTATCCATTGCTAGAAAGTGGGCTCTAACATGCTGCAAGTGGTATTAATTGGTCTCAGTAGCACATAATGAGTTTAAAAGCTCCTACCTGTGTGCCCCCGGGGATGGTGACTAGAGGCGGACAACAATTTACAGCAGACCATTAACACATAGAGCAGAAAGAGCCAGTCAGACAGAAGCATTGATTTGGCACAGAATCTCATCCTGGAGGCAGAAAAGGAAGCAGTTGAGTGAAAGAACAATGCAAGTAGGGAATAACATAAAAACGATGTGGGGAAGGAAAAGCTGAAGAATAACTGATGTGGGTTATTGCAAGGCAACACTCACAAAATCATATTCATTACTGGGTTGGGATCAATTCTTTGTTAAGGACATTTTATAATTAGAAGCAATGTCTATCACACATCACATTACCCACAAACACATGTTTGTAATAACACATTATGAGTGCCATGCAGTTCTATGAAACTGAGATAAGGGATGGGTTCTTTTGTCTTTTATCAAGATCCTAACACATTCAAATTTAAACATACACATTTATGAGTTGTGCTACTATTTTTAAACTGCACCTCCCTCAATGACAGAAAAAAAAGTCATTTTTACTTAACACTTCTCAGGACATATTTACTAAATAAATATATAGTATAATAATTTACTGTAATATAACATATAATTTACTGTAGCCTTGCACAGTTCTGGGTTGGGTCTCCCCAACACACAATATTTGGGAGATTTCCTGGAGATCACCTGGTTTGCTGAGGGTAAAACACTCATGAAGCAGCACCTCAGTCAAACGTGCAAGGACTCAGTTCTCTGCCAGGGTGTTGGAAACTGCATTTCAGAAAACACTTGCTCTAAAGAAGGTGTTGTTACTCTTATTCATGTTACTCTTAGAACTAAGATTCCAAATCCTCCATCATTTTTCTGCAAATATCTTGAATTAAATCCCTCAATAGCTTATGTTATGCCATTCATCATACAGAAAGGGAATCTAATCATCTTTTTAAACTGAGTTATGATGATTTATTGCTTGCATGATACATAAATGGGCATTATGTACTTGAACCCTTAGATACTGTGTTCCACAATTTCAGCAAATTCTGCAAGCAGGAATACATCAAATTTATTAAAGGCAATTTATAGATTTGCATAAATTGAAGCAAATACTGTTTTCATGGCAGTGACGTGAGTCTGCAGCTAATCAGCATGCTGGGATTTGGGCAAGCCTATCACGAGTTTATCTGCACCAAAAGGTCCTTTGGGAACTGCTTTTCCTCTGCAGATTCCAGTTCTGAGTCTTTTCCAAAACAAAATTATCTGCATATCTTGAAAATACCTAAGACTACTCAGCTAATCCAATGTTCAAGTGCTGAATTTAAAAAAAGAAATCCCAAGCAACACATGCCTTAGACAGCTCTACTGTCACAACCAGGTGACACACTTGGGTGTTGTTTAAATTTGATAAACATCTACCAATGAGACCAAAACAGAGGCCTTGTTTTCTCTCTTAAAATTGCTCACACAATTTCCCTTTTCACACTTTGCAGAACAATATTTTTTCTCTAATTGCAAATGCTGATAAAGCCCAAACAAATAAAACATGCACTTATTAATATCAAAAGTTAAGAGACCAGAAGCCTGCTGCAAGTAAATATATTTTAGCAACAAATTCTGGTTTACACTGTAGAAAGAAATACATTGGTGCAAACTCCAGCACCTTCAGCCTACAATTTGTTATTTTTTTCAATTACATAAAGACTGCAAAGAAACCAGCTCACCATGTCTATGGATTTCAGAGAATGAAAATTATATGTAAAGAAGCCACACTTTAAGCACTGATTTGGCAAGAGGGTACCTTTGCTGGCTTTAAGAAGATGCTCTGTTTTGAGCCCAATATATTTCCACGCTGAATGCAGGAACAAACACCCTGCTGGCCTTTTACAGCTGTATGTAGGAGACTTCTGTGAGCATGAATCAAGCCCAGAAGATAAAGACATCACTGCTCCTCACCCATCCAATAAGTGCCCTCTTCTGGAGCACTCCCAGGCTAATTCAGAGCAGCTGAACCAAATTCACCTCTTGCATGCAGCTGAACCCATAATGTCACTGCAGCTAATGGGATTGAGTCACTGTGAAACCAGCATAAATGTCACTATTGCTGTTGGTCCAGTGTTAGCCTAAGAAAACTGCCTGGTAAGTTCTAAAATTACTGTACCATTTCAGATTTTGGTCATCCAAATCTTTACCAGCTGACTGAACTTCTTTTTTATTTTTTTTTTAGGAGAGAGCTGAATTTAACCTTAGTTTTCTTGGCCTCTCCATGAGAAACAAACAGGTTACAGCTCATGAACAGGATGTCATCATCTGCTCAGCTTCCAGCCCTATCCTTCTGTTGCTCTAAATGCAAACACTCAGATCTGATCCAAGCATCACCCCAGCTCTGGTGTCACTCTGATGTATCACCATGAAGACACAAACCTTCCTCCAGGTTTCCTGTGGAATTAAACACCCCAGCTCAGGCATTCTGAACATGCCATTTCTGGCAGGAGGTGGTGGAAGGGGCAGGTGTGGTGATGGACAGGTCCCAAATCATGCATCATATGCTCAACAGCTGCTGTTCCAGCATTTTAGTGGACCCAGGTGCTCCCACCATTCCCAGTGCAGCAGCAAAACTGGTCTCAGTGGAAATAGTCTTGTACTGACTTATTTTCAAAAGTCTTCCCCAGCTGAGTTTGACTCTTTTGAGACATTAAACAAGGAATGTGAAACCAGGGCTCATCAGGTTAACAGGGTAACCTCAGCCCTGAGTAAGAACATTCAATTCCAGGAATAAGTGTATCACCACAAAGCATCCACTCGGTCATATCCAAACTGAAAGGCTGCTAAAAGCATCCAGTACCATCCAAAGGACACATCTGCAGGCTTTAGTCTGCCTTGCAGGTAGACAGGACACAAGTTTTCAGCCTGCTAATGTACAGAAATACAAGAGGATCTTTGAAAAGGCAGAGAAAAAATGAAATTTGGCAGACAGATGCAGCAAGGGGTGCTGAGCCCTTCAGCGTCAGTGGGCTGCTGCTTTCAGAAATGTCAAGCCTTCATTCTCTATTGGATTCAAGTGGATATTGTTGCTAACCAGAACAGAGAATCTTCAGTGTCATTTGAAAGATAAAAAGTGCTCTTACCTTGGGGACTTTGCAAGAATTTTGTTCCAGTCAAACACAATTATTTCAGTGTGTTTTTCATAGTTATTCCAGATTCCCATTTGCAGCAGCAAATAAGCCTTTCTGCATCTCAGAATTTTTTCATTCACTTCGGGGACCTAGAAAGAAAGCCACATTACACTGCAATTAACGTCTGCAAAGGTGCTGTAAAACACATCTTTGTTACCAAAATCTTAGTTTCACAGTGCCATCTACAGTGCAATCTGGGGCAAAAGGCAGCAGTTTTATTTCTCTTTTCTTTCTGAGAGCACAGAGAAGCTGTGGTGAGGCAGCTCTGAGGTATCACTGCATTAACCAAAGGCAGAATTTGCTGTACATGGGGTTGCAAACAGAATGTGAGCAGATCTTTGGGGTCTCACCACCCAACTGCTGGGAAAGCCAAAAGGTATAAGGCTGCACCACAGTGCAAACACATTTCCACATGGTTCCACGAAGCCTCCAAGAGTTTGAAGCAGAGATTATTAAAGATAGTGAGGAAAATCTGTCTCTGTCTCCATAAAGATTTGGCCCAGGCCCTGTGCCTGCCTCAGCAGAGAGGATCACATCCACAGCAGAGTGTCTGGAATTGTGTATTATTGCACCCTCTGACCCTGCTGCCTCTCCTGGCTTCCAGCATCCCCTCTCACACCACCCAGCCCACCTACACCTACAGCCCACCTGGTAAGTTCTAAAATCACTGTACCATTTCAGGTTTTGGTCATCCAAAAATGTTTTCCAGGTTACTGAACTATTTCTTTCTTTTTTTTTTTTTCAGGACAGAGCTGAATTGCTGAATTTAACCTTAGTTTTCTTGGCCTCACCATGAGAAACACACAGGTTACAGCTCAAGCTGTAACCCAGGAGTTACACTTTGAAATCTCCACATGGAAGCACTTTTACAGCAGCTCTGACACATGTTGTGCAGAATGAGGAGCTCAAACACTCCATTTTACAGACACTCAGGCCTCTTTGCCTTTGCTGTTTATATTTGTTCTCTCACTTCCATCCCTGGGCAAAACTTGACCTTCTGCTACTGAAAACATGACACAGAGCAATTTGTGAGAGTAATAATAATGTGGTCTTCACCTAGACAGCAATCACAACCTTTTCTTATCTTACCCACCATTCTTTCCATTTCACTCCTCCTTTGATCAATTTGAAATTTGCTTTTAAGAAACACAAAATTACAGCACCACACTGGAGGGCAGAGCATGTCTGGGGTCATAAAAGCACATAAAAGTTCCTTTCAGAGCTCAGGACAGGAAGGCCCCTGGCTCAACACACTCATGGAATCACAGAACCTTCCAATCACAGGTTGGAAGGGACCTTAAAGCTCATGTTGTACCAAACCATGGGCAAGGACACCTTCCACTGGACCAGGCTGCTCAAAGCCCCATCCAACCTGGCCCTAACAACTCTTATTTGTTCAGAATGCCATGAGAAAATAGAGTAATTGCTGGAATTAAAGAGGTGCCAGGCTAGCAATCTATAATTAATCACATTTTGCTTTCTTTGCTTTCCAATGTGGAGTTCCAGGCTGAGCCAAAACCAGCATTTCTATCAAATCAGTGGATATCAAAACAAAATGTAGGCAAGGAGTTGTCTTAAGAAAAAGCAGTACCATCCTGCATTCATCCTTTCTTCCACAAATACACATAAAATAAAAAATAAAAATAAAACAACAGTGTGCCTCAAAAGACCCATTAAAAGAAGCAAACAAACAGGATTTTCAATATAGCATTGACTGACTGAAATGGTTGTGTGGTACATTTTTACCCATTTCATAATAGGACAGGTAGATAAATACACTCTTACAGTGCTCTTGTAGAAATCAATACTGCAGCACACTAACTTGGGGGTTAGTGCTTATCTGTTCCATAATTTTTATTAGAGAGGAAAATAAAACGCTGTGCAGATGCAGCTACAGGTAAATACAAACATCAGTGTAACCTGCTCTGTAAACACATGTTAAACACTGGTAAAAGGCAAGGGAGTATTGATTAGTCCAACTCATCCTAATTAAGTGGATGCAGTGAAAGTGACAGATGATACATCCACCTGCATATCTCCAGGCTTTCTAATGCCTTCCAGGCAGTGATATTTCTTTAAAAAATAGAGTTGTATTAGGGGAGATTAAGGCAAACTCCTGAAACCAGCTTCAGCTGGTTTATGTCAATAAAGGAGACAGATCAGAACAGAAACAAGAGGCTCACCTGGTTAAGAGCTGTAAAAGGAATTCCAGGCTTTGATGGCAAAAGCATGCTTGGTGTGTGTTCTCTGAACAGTGGGTTTAACTGCTGGGCCCTGTCTTGTCTCAGGGTGACACATTACTTTGGAAAACAGAGCTGCTTGTTTGTTTTTATACAGTGAGCTCTGCCCAGTGAGCAGCTGAACCCCACCTCCATCTCCAACGAAGATACAGAAAAGAAGGAAGAGGGAATTGGAGAGGAGAAAAGCTCAATTTTCAGTACTTATGCATGGACTGGCCATGAGCAACTCCTGCTTTGCCCAGGAGTTCCCCAGAGGCTACACCACTCCCCTGGGTCAGTATTTAGGGCAAATGAAGATTGTGGGATCTGGGATCTGGAGGGAATTGCAGTGGTCAGGTCTGCTGCACCTCAGTCCCAGCACAATCTGCTCTCTGTGCCTCTGCACTTGAGTAAAATGGGTATAAACAGCATTTCCCTGTGCCAGGGAAGAGTTTCAAGAACAGAAACAATAAAGGTCTAAAGTTATTTGAAAACTGTATAGGCACTGTATAATTCCTTTGACAGATGGAATAAGAGAACACTTTAAATTAGGTACATTTCCTACCAATATTTACATGTTGTAAAATACTTTTTATGGCTACTTTCTGCGAATAATAAATTACTAAACCATTTTGTGCCACCTTTTATAATAAGCTATTAAATAATTTAGAAAACCTCCTTTCATTAAATATTTAAAAGGCCTTAATTTCTCCATTCTGAATAATTCCTCACTTAAAATACAACTATGCATCTCTTAAAGTCTCCTCTTCTGTAAAGCAAGGGGTGAGAAGGAAAGAAATTTGGGGGCCATGTACTGTTCAGGGGATTTGCCAGCCTGACTTTAACCCTAATGTCAGCCTGGCCAAATTCTTAAATCAAACTGAGTAAAGGACAAAGGGAGAACAGACCAATATCTGACATTTCTTAGAGAAGGGGGGAAAAGATACACAGCAAGTACACTGTGTGTATTTGAAAACTGTTGCTGCTGAGGAGAGCTAGAGACAAAAGAGAGAATTAAAGCAGAGATCTACACACTGGCTGACCAACCCAGAACATATTTTGGGGCTAAATCACTGCACACAGTTATTTAGTGACAGTACTAGGAGGGGGTGTATAAAAGAGAGGAAGAGCAAATTTTACACAGGCAGGTATTGACAGGACAAGGGGAATGGTTTCAAATGAAAAGAGGAGAGATTTATATTAGATGTTATATAAAAGGTTTTCCTGTGAGGGTGGGGAGGCCCTGGCACAGGTTGCCCAGGGCTGCTGTGGCTGCCTCATCCCTGGAAGTGTCCAGGGCCAGGTTGGACAGGACTTGGAGTAACCTGGGACAATGGAAGGTGTCCCTGCCCATGGCAGGGGGTGGAATGGGATGGTCTTTGAGGCCTCTTCCAAACCAAACCATCCCTGGCTGTGTGCTGATGCTGCCCCAGGGCTGCAGGTGAGTGGTGTCCCTGTCAGGGTGCAGGGGTCACAGGTGACTGTCCCTGTCACGATACAGGTGAGCAATGGCCCTGTAGGCGTGCAGGTGAGTGACGTCTCTGTTGGAACACAAGTTACTGATGTCCCTGTCAGGATACAGGTAGTGATGTCCTGTCGGGATACGGGTCACTGTCGGGACACAGATCACTGATGTCCCTATTGGGACACAGGTCACTGTCCCTGTCACGACACAGGTCCCTGTCACGACACAGGTCTCTGCTGTCCCTCCCGTGGTGCCGGAGCCGCTGCCGGCGCTTCCCGAGGATCCATCGGGCCCGTGCTGCCCCCTGGCGGCTGCGCGCCTCTCTCCCTGCAGCCTCTCCCGCATGGCTGAGCCGGGCCGGCCCCGCTCCCAGCCCCACGGGCCAGCCCCGCTCCCTGTCCCGGGCCGGCCCCGCTCCCAGCCCCGCTCCCTGTCCCGGGCCAGCCCTGCCGTCCGTGCAGCCCCGCTCCCCCTCGCTCCGCAGCTGGCCGGGACAATTAGCGCCCCTCATTAACCACACGAAGCCGTCGCTGTGGCAGGGTCCGGGCGCTGAGCTGCCCTCAGAGCCTGGGCACGGCAGGGACGCGCTGGCCTTCAGCCCACAGGGACAGCCCTGTCCTCCAGGTGCCCATCGGGCCCGGCTGTGGGTGGATACAGCGAATAACGCGGCTCACATTCTGCATTTGGTCCCTTAACCCTCACCCAGAAATCTCTGCATCAGCTCACGTAACTGCAGCTTGCTCTGAAGGCTTTGAGGGTCAGCAAATCCACCTCGGCCGAGTTATTCCACCAGTTAATTAACCTCACCTTAAGCACTGCACCTTCCAGCTTGTACCTCCCGGCACATTCCTGTTGTTTTCCCAGCTGGCACATCCTACCAGGATGTGTCAGGCCTTCAAAGGCCTCCGTTCTGCCAATCCTTACTCACAGCAAGTAGGGGTTACACCAGGTAGGAAGGCACTGAGCAAACTGAGAGGATTTAAAGTTACCCATGTAGTACAGTCACAGAATCACAGAGTCACAGAACTTTTTGGGTTGGATGGGACCTCAAAGCCCATCCTGTTCCACCCCCTGCCATAGGCAGGGACAACTTCCACTATCCCAGGGTGCTCCAAGCTCCCTCCTGGTCTTGGACACTTCCAGGGATGGGGTAGCCACGGCTTCTCTGGGCACCCCGTGCCAGGGCCTCGTCACCATCACATTAAAGGATTTTTTCCTAATATCCAATCTAAACCTACTCTCTGTTAGTTTGAATCTGTTCCCCCCTGTCCTGTCTCTTCATGCACTTGTAAAAAGTCCCTCTCCACCTTTCCTGTAGGCTCCCTTCAGGTACTGGAAAGTAGCACAA